CTCTCCTCTGTCTCCTCTGGTCTCTCCTCTACTCTCTCCTCTGGTCTCCTCTGGTCTCTCCTCTACTCTCTCCTCTGGTCTCTCCTCTACTCTCTCCTCTAGTCTCTCCTCTAGTCTCTCCTCTAGTCTCTCCTCTACTCTCTCCTCTACTCTCTCCTCTACACTCTCCTCTGGTCTCTCCTCTCTTCTCTCCTCTGGTCGCTCCTCTACTCTCTCCTTGTCTTTCTCCTCTACTCTCTCCTCTACTCTCTCCTCTGTTCTCTCCTCTGGTCTCTCCTCTGGTTTCTACTCTTCTCTCTCCTATACTTTCTCCTCTACTCTCTCCTCTGGTGTCTCCTCTGGTCTCTCTTCTACTACCTCCTCTGATATCAACTCTCCTCTCTCCTCTACTATCTCCTCTAATCTCTCCTGTGTTCTATCATCTGGCCTCTGGTCTCTCCTCTACTCTCTCCTCTACTTAATCCTCTACTTTCTCCTCTGGTCTCTTCTCTAGTCTCTCTGTTGGTCTTTCCTCTAGTCTCTCCTCTACTCTCTCATATACTTTCTCCTCTGGCTTCTCATCTGGTCTCTCCTATACTCTCTGCTCTAATCTCTCCTCTGGTCTTTCCTATGGTCTATCATCTGATATCTCCTCTGGTCTCTCCTCTCGTTTGTTCTCCATTCACTCCTCTTCACTCTCCTCTGGTGTCTCCTCTACTCTCTCCTCTTGATTATCCTTTACTCTCTGCTTTGGTCTCTCCTCTACTCTCTCCTCTCTCATCTGGTCTCTCCCCTGGTTGCTCCTCTACTCTCTCCTCTACTCACTCCTCTGGTCTCTCCTATACGCTCTCATATACTTTCTCCTCTACCCTCTCCTCTGATCTCTCCTCTACTCTCTCATTTGGTATCTCCTCTACTCTATCCTCTGGTCTCTCCTCTGGTATCTCCTCTACTCTATCCTCTGGTCTCTCCTCTGGTCTCTCCTCTACTCTATCCTCTGGTCTCTCCTCTGTTCTCTCCTCTGGTCTAAATAAATATTAAATTAAATAAATAATTCATTGGGTTTATAACACAATATTTAGTACATACAAGCATAAATATATACCTATTCATACTATATCATGAACCTTCCACACTCAATACTTTGGGAATGTGTCTATAGATTGAGTATTTAAATATTTCATGTTACAGTGTGCAGTATGTATGCTATGCATGTTTGTAACTGCTTCTGGTATTTGAATTCACGCTGCTTTACTAGCTGCACTTCTTTCTGCCTGTACATCATCTACCCTCGTTTCACGTTTCCTTCATCCAAACACTCTCTGAAACTGCTGAAAAGTTGCTGTCCTGCCTCTAGTAGCCATGGTTACCGTAGATAGGATGCAGGTCTCAAGTTACGTCGTTTTGAAGGCTGCCTACTCAACACTGTCTCCTACGGGTTTGGCATTTCTTGACCCCCAGACAAAGGTGATTCAAGGTCAGTTTTCTAATGGTCTTGATGAGCAATTAAGAGATGTAGCTCTGGTTAGAGGGACTACTAGTGAATGATGTTGTTGGACCTATATGGTGTTGGTAAAGTCTTATCAATTATATTGAAAAAATTATAGAGAATGGATATTTCGTTGCTGACTGTCAAGTGGTAAAGTGGGAGGCAAATGCACGCACGCACACACACACACACACACACACACACACACACACACACACTGCTAGGTTAACATGAGATTGAGAGTTTGTGAGTATTGTAAACAACCTACAGCTGTCTCCAACTCAGCCATTCACTGTGAGAGTACACAATCAAAGGAAAGATCTGAAAGAGGGGTCAGGGAAGAGAGAGGGAGGGAGAGAGGGAGGAGAGAGGGAGGGAAACAGACAGCTGGAGAACAATGCGTGCAAGTGCCTAGGTTAATATCCATCCATACCCCATGTTGTTTAGTTTTGATGGGATTCCTACAGATATTAGGGAGAGAGAGAGAGAGAGAGAGAGAGAGAGAGAGAGAGAGAGAGAGAGAGAGAGTGTGTGTGTGTGTGTGGGGGGGGGGGGGGGGGGGGGGGGGGTGATAACCCTATCGGATATATAGTTAACTTTTAAAATGAAAGCAAACCCCAGTGCTCCAGGTTCGCAATATAGCACTCAGCAGGGAGGCTGGGTGTCAACGTTCAAACTACAGTGGAGGAAACCTGGGAAATGAATGTTAGTTGGCTCCTGCGGCACATGCTAAGCTGGGAAATGAATGTTAGTTGGCTCCTGCGGCACATGCTAAGCTGGAGGTCAGTGTCTCATCGATTTGGGGTTCAGAAGGGCAATGCAACTATTTTTCTTCTGTGGTTACTTTTGAGGATGTTTATGGAATCCTAGGTTCATATGGAAGATCTTTAACCTTGTTGGACACACATACACCATGTTCCTTCTAATACACTGCACAAACACCATGTTCTTTCTTGTACACTGCACATACACCATGTTATTTCTAATACACTGCACAAACACCATGTTCCTTCTAATAAGGTATTTGGGCTCTCTGGAGAATATGGCAGAGAGGGAGGTGGTCTTATCTGATCTACATCCAACTACAGCCAAGGGAATTAGAGGAATTATCAAATGAACATCAATTCATCTTTGCCACATCATAACTATCACAACCCTGATTGCTTAATCAAACCCTATCTCATCACATCATGGCAAATCAAACACTCCACCAGGGGAAATCCCACCACCATGTTTCTAATCTATCTAATACTAATATTTACCAAGCCGACTGCGTTCTAAATGACGCCCATAGATAAACAATGGCAGCCAGCAACCACCAGCAGCGCTGACGATAAGTCTCTTTTCATTAGAGCAAATGTCTGTGCTCTTAGGCAGCACACTGCGAAGGGTCCCCCTAGTCCTGGGAGCTGGTCTGCTCGGCTAGCAGATAGCTGTCACGTCCTCCCTACTGCCAGTCCCTTCGCCCGATTACAGAGCCGTGTACCACTGCTGGCCTCTCTCAGGGCCGAGGCAGCTTCTGGTAACGGTAATGCTAGCCCCCCCCCCCCCCCCCCCCCCCCCCCCCCCCCCCCCCCCGTAGCTTGATGTCTGTAGCTGTAGCTTGATGTCTGTAGCTGTAGCTTGATGTCTGTAGCTGTAGCTTGATGTCTGTAGATGTAGCTTGATGATCTGTAGCTGTAGCTTGACATCTGTAGCTGTAGCTTGATGTCTGTAGCTGTAGCTTGATGTCTGTAGCTGTAGCTTGATGATCTGTAGCTGTAGCTTGACGTCTGTAGCTGTAGCTTGATGTCTGTAGCTGTAGTTTGATGTCTGTAGCTGTAGCTTGATGTCTGTAGCTGTAGCTTGATGTATGTAGCTGTAGCTTGATGTCTGTAGCTGTAGCTTGATGTCTGTAGCTGTAGCTTGTCCTTCTGCAGGCCTGCAGGTCGGACATTGCTCTGGGCTGTCTGATGCCATGCTTCTGCACTGACAGTGTGATGTTTATCAAATGAAGTGTTTATCAAATAACCATTTTAAGCATTATTAATTAACTGAAATCACATGTTGCTTCACTGTACATGTTTTATGCAAGACACAAATGGAACTGAATCCCGACCAATCGGCCCTCCAGCCAATATTATCATTAATATCAGATAGACATAATATCAATATAGACTCCTCTAACTCCTCTAGTGTTGAACCTAATGGTAATGAGAGAGTGCAAGTGGCTGTTCACTTTCACCTACTGATGATTTTGCCTCAGAAACACAAGCATTGTAAATCAAAACAACAAGATAGCATGGTATTGTGACAATTGTCCTCATTAGTCAAAGACAAGTTCACCATGCACCTGTGGAGAGAGAAAAAAATAAACGAGCGGACTGTATCGCCTTTCTACCACTGGGTGTCGCACAAGTATCTCTTTGTGGCTCCTGTAAAACTGCCATCTTTGATGTCAAATTAGTGACATCATGCATAACCAATTATATGAATAGCGCAAAAAAGCAATGATATCCGCTTTTCTCACCCTTTCATCTCTGATAAATCAGCGCGCTACAAGACGGGGGGAAATAAATCGCGGCTGCACACTGGGAGTCAGCCGTGAACTTTGCTGTCCCGTGAGGTCCGCTGATGTATGATCTCACAACATTCAACTGGTTATGTAAACAAACTCATTAATCCAGACGTGTGCTTCTTCTACTAGCCTATTAGTGAGTGGAGAGCCCTTGTACGCGGTGCTGTCGACGTTCTACTGTACTTGAATATAAAGGATGGGCGTGAGTCGCCCTCGAAAGGGAAGCGAGGGGGGATCCATTTTCAGCACAGAAGGCGAGCCCACCGCTCAGTTCACTCTGCGCGCTGCTTCCTATGCGGAATGAGAGAAAGACGCTATGGATACTACAGGTAATGTCCAGGCGCCTTTTCAGGGAAACAGATGGCTATGGTGTTTGGTACTTGTGTTAGTAAAGAGTAGGCTAGTATAAGAGTAGCCAAATTAAACTTGAGAGAAATAAATATAAAATTATACACATTGATCTTAAATAATTGTTCACATTGTTTAATTGTATTAAGGATTTCCAAATTGCATAAGTATTTAACTAGCATGGGAGGTGATAAATCTGACTAATGTTTATTAATATGAATGAAATACCCTATAGTTGACGCACCTACAATATAGCCTACCTTCCGTGCGTATTACGCACAAGTTTTATCTAGTTCTAGGAGGATCCCAGTGAATATGTTTTAGCACTTAGTGTAGTAGTCTGTCTCTTCAACACCTAATTGGGTCTGTTATAAAGCCGTTGTTATTTGTCTCTTAAATCACCAGGAAACACCACACCAGCTGTCTGAAGACCAGCCTAATTTCAACTGAAACGCACAGGAGGGAGGGGAGTGTGAGAAAAATAGATTGTGTGTGTCAAAGTGTGCATGTTACAGAGAGCGAGAGAGAGGAGTAAGGTTGGACCAGGTGATCGCGTCCTATCAAACCTCCAAGGAGCTGCCGGATAGGATCAGTGTGCACAGGAAGGATCAGAGTTCCGACCAGACCATGGTGGTGCCAGCCCGCTGCCCGGGCCCCTGTGCCATGCTGACGCTCAGCCTTCTCATGGGATACGGCGTGGTGCGCTGCATCGCCGGTCAGAACGACACGGAGCCCATCGTACTGGAGGGGAAGTGTCTGGTGGTCTGCGACTCCAACCCCTCCTCGGACGGCGGGGTGACTTCATCGCTCGGGATATCCGTCCGGTCCGCCGGCGCCAAGGTGGCTTTCTCCGTGGTGCGCGGGACGAATCACGAGCCCTCAGACATGAGCAACACGTCCATGACCATCTACTTTGACCAGGTCAGCAGTCCCGGGAATTTGCGCATGCAAATATTTTCCCTATCCGGATAGATAATTAATGTGGCGATTAAGAAGACGTTGTTTAATATCTATTTTTCTGACGCTGCTACAACATTATTGTATTCCTGTAAAAGGTTATGATAACTTGTCGTGGGTTGCGTTGATGCGTTTGGAGACCCGCACATTTCCCTTTTCTCGCTTTCAATAACTTGAGAGCAGTTTTGGGAGCCTCTGCAAGAATATTTAGCAGAGCATGATAATGGGGACATTGTGATCGTCGTGCGTAATTTGCCCCAAATGCCTACTCGTAAAAGCTGCAGCTTTTTTGCAAGTTGATTTGAAAATACGTTAGCTGTTGCATCTAGTATGTTGTATCTAGAGTGTAGATTTGAGGGACGCAGACACCGCGGTGTTACAATAGATGTGACCGCTGCTGTCAATGCGCCACATCAAGTGGAGTGGTTTTTTGCGCCCCGCTGGTGAGCTGGGACGCTATGGACAGTATTATGTTAATTGACAGTGTAAAAACAGTGAGCTGTAGCCTACAGGCAAACAGCGTTGGCCAATTGATTGTGCATTGCGCCTTAAGGTCACCACAGGCAGTGTGAAGGTGCTTGGTCATTTGGCTTAGTTTAACCCTTGCTGTGTCTCAGTCTGTTCTACTGTGACTCTGGACGCTGATATGTTGATGCTTTGTGTTGCAGGCTTTAGTGAACATCGGCAACCATTTCGATCTGAAAGCGAGTTTCTTCCAGGCGCCAAGGAGGGGAATATACAGCTTTGGTTTTCATGTGGTCAAGGTCTACAACAGACAGACCATACAGGTAAGACCAATTGTCTACAGTTGCTTCACTATGACCTCTGCTCAAAGTTGTCTGATGGTAGGCCTAATTACTCTACATCAGTGTATTGTTGTATGCCATGGAGCAGCCTACCCAAATGGATACATTATGTGGTGCGTAATTAGAGTAGGCCTATGATGTAACAGGTCTGAATTATGATCGTGCTGTTTCCGTTACCCCAGGTCAACCTGATGCAGAATGACTACCCAGTCATATCAGCTTTCGCCGGTGACCAGGACGTCACTCGGGAGGCGGCAAGCAACGGCGTTCTTTTGCAGCTGGAGCGCGAGGACCGGGTGTATCTGAAGCTGGAACGGGGCACGCTCATGGGTGGATGGAAATATTCCACGTTCTCAGGCTTCCTAGTCTTTCCACTATAATTTAATATGTGATCACGGAAATCGCAAACGTGACTCCTCCATGGTTGAGTTCTGTTATTTTAACTGAACTGTCAGAGGAAGAAGACAGACTCGTATGTGTACACACTACACACTTTACAGTATCTATTTAATTCAAACATGAACGTTTCCTTGGAGTTCATACATCCAAATCCATCGACTAAACCCTATCTGGAAGGATAATCTAATCGATCGACCCGTGATGTATAGGCCTACCACTTGTCGATTATTTGGATTTTATCGCTTGGGAATCAATTAACTTTTGTCAACAGACAGACACGTCAGTCTACCTCTGTGTACCCTGACTACTGAACAGATGAGAAGAAGATTATATGAATCGAAAAGCTTAAAGTCCCGAAGTACGTGTATTTACCAATGCTCTCTCTATTTTTGTGTTTGTGTAGCCTTAAATAATTATGTTTCAGTCAAGTGAGGTGTATGGAATTATTATGGACGTCCAGGAGAAGAAGAATGCTTTCACGCCCAAAGCTATTTTGCACGAATGGAAGAATGTTTTTGTTTTGTGCTGTCCATGGTGTTCCGTTTGGATGCTGAACATATTGAAAACAAGCCAAATATAGGCTGCCTAACTATCCAGAGATGATATAAAAAGAAAAGCGACATATTTCAGCCAATGGAGACATCTATAGAAACTCTTTTACAAAAAATATTTATCTCATTTATAAAGTACATATTCACATTATGGTGTGTTCTACATTTCGGATCTGCGTAGCTTTAACTGATATTGTGTCCAGTGACGTTGCTCACAAATGTACATTGTGAAAATAACAACAGAAAAATCCCAATATATGATGTCCCGCCTAATAAATAATATTGTATTGTATACGCGTATGTATTCACTTTTATTATATAGGCTACCCTTTTAGGCTTGCAAATGACATGCAAGGTCGAAAAGACATCAGGTCTGAAGCAAGTTCAGATATTAACATTCAAAGTAAAAGTAATCGTGATAGAATCGGTCAATAATAAGGTACTGTACAGCAAACGTCCTCAGACCTGTAGCGCACTATTGACTACCGCTGTCCATGGTGCTGATTGAGCAGCCGCTTGAACCGAATGCAACGCTACACGTCACAGAGCACTGGAGCCCCACACCAAAGCGCATTCAACTCTCGTGATTTCAAAATTGTTTCATTATTGTAAGATCAAAGCAGAGATACATCAATACAATACAATAGCATGTTGACATGATCAAAAAACGCAATATTTTGATTTGAGTGGTGAGAGAAGTGTTCACTCACTGTAATTATCTTAGCCAAATAATTATGCAATGCAGAGACAATGCGATATTGTTTTGGGCCTGCTGTAGAAAAACAACCCTTCATCACACAGGAACCAAGGGAACAGCTATCCACAATCTTATCATGTAGAACTGAAAGCTATGTAAATGCCTGGTCTATTTCCAGAAATGATGTGTGTGTGTGTGTGTGTGTGTGTGTGTGTGATAGCAAATATATTAGTAGATGCTATACCTAATGGTGCCAAGATGTGGTATATGTGCCTCCACCATGCAGTCTTATTGATGTAGGTCAAAGGGGAACTGACTAAAACAAACATTGTGAAATATAACGGCCATAAATGAAACAGATAGTAGAGCAAAAGGAATCGGTGTGGTGTAGTTACAGTGTAGCCACAATAGGAACATACCGGAGATGGTAAGTACACCTAGGATCGCAGCCACGCCTTGCAGAAACCCACAGACCACCAGGCCACGCAGCCCAGAGGAAACCATGACAAATTGTATGTGTACATACCATCTCCGTTATGTTCTTATTAGGCTACACTGGAATACTTTCATTTGACATTTGCATTGGAGCCTCTGGCTGTGTGTGGTTTGGACACCAAAACCGCTTATTTGACTGTTGCTACGAGATGCTAAACAGCTCATGGGTTGTTATGAAATGTCATAACATAAGTACATAGTTTTAAACAGCTAAATGTGGTTGTAATGCTTTCAGGCATCTATTGTATCATAAACTGTCGATGTTTATGCTATATTCATCTCTCGTGGGCAGATTGTGCGTGTAGCCCGAAGAATCTGTCGGGACTGAATGGGATGCGTGAGATAACGAGCAACATTAGTTCCGGTTTTGGGGTTTTCTTCACTGGTTATTTGAACGTATCAGGATGAGGTGAAGGCGGTGCTTAAATTGCTTTTCGCCCACACGGATTGAAAGGGGCCTTTGGCTGATAGTTTCCTTTTGTGAGAGCGGAGACCAGACCTGGGTTCAAATACGTGTGTATTTGAGTATTTTCTTTTTAAATACCATTTTTTCTGTGTATTTGAGTATTTGGAGAAAAAAAAAACTTTTATTTTGAGTATTTGAATGGTTATTTGTAAAAACCAAATAGTTGACCAAATTGTGTTTGAAAGTATTTTCAAATACTTATTTCAAAAACCATTTTCAAATACCTTGGTTAAATGCATGGGAGTGTATTTGAGTCAGTGTATTTGAGTATTTTCAAATACCTTTCAAGTGTATTTCCAAATACATTCCAATGTTCAGCTACTTGTTATTTCAAATAAAGGTTAACTGAATACATGTATTGAAACGTATTGAAAAGTAATTGAAATACCTTAAATAGTATTTGAACCCAGGTCTGGTATTTTGATAATGATGCAGGTGTGCATTGTGCTGTAAGACAAGCAGTCAAGACAACAGCAAGATGGCTGACTTTAGGGGTGGATAAATGGGATTGGTTGAGATCTGCTCTCCTCAAAAGAATGTTGAAATATTCTTATGCAGACGATCATTTCTAAACTAGCCTACTATTCATCGAAGTTGCTTAGACCACCAGGATCTCCTATGGTGACTTTATATTCAGCTATCAACAATGTCAATGGAACAAAATAATGAGATTGCATAGCCTATTATTCAAAAAATCTTATAAAATGTAATGTCCAAGAAACCTTCATTAAAACATCCAAGATGGCAGCAGAATTGGCCTTGGAAGTGGAACCCAGCTGGCAACTGCCTAGGGAATCAGTCTGGACTAGTTCTAAACAGTTCCTATCCTGAACATACCAGACACTTTGAGTAAGCACTTTGAGTAAGATAACACAAAATATTTTTTACAAAAGTATGTTTTATTGCAACATATACCAGTCAAAAGTTTGGACACACCTACTCATTCAATGATTTTTCTTTATTTTTTACTATTTTCTACATTGTAGAATAATAGTGAAGACATCAAAACTATGAAATAACACATATGGAATCATGTAGTAACCAAAAAATCAAATATACTTTATATTTGAGATTCTTCAAATAGCCACCCTATGCCTTGATGACAGCTTTGCACACTCTTGGCATTCTCTCAACCAGCTTCACCTGGAATGCTTTTCCAACAGTCTTGAAGGAGTTCCCACATATGCTGAGCACTTGTTGGCTGCTTTTCCTTCACTCTGCCGTCCGACTCATCCCAAACCATCTCAATTGGGTTGAGGTCGGGTGATTGTGGAGGCCAGGTCATCTGATGCAGCACTCCACCACTCTCCTTCTTGGTAAAGTAGCCCTTACACAGCCTGGAGGTGTGTTGGGTCATTGAACTGTTGAAAAACTAATTATAGTCCCACTAAGCGCAAACCAGATGGGGTGGCGTATCGCTGCAGAATGCTGTGGTAGCCATGCTGGTTAAGTGTGCCTTGAATTCTAAATAAATCACAGACAGTGTAACCAGCAAAGCATCCCCACACCATAGCACCTCCTCCTCCATGCTTTACGGTGGGAAATACACATGCAGAGATCATCCGTTCACCCACACTGCATCTCACAAAGACCAAAGGACACATTTCCACCGGTCTAATGTCCATTGCTTGTGTTTCTTGGCCCAAGCAGGTCTCCTCTTCTTATTGGTATTTTAGTAGTGGTTTCTTTGCAGCAATTCGACCATGAAGGCCTGATTCACACAGTCCCCTCTGAACAGTTGATGTTGAAATGTGTCTGTGACTTGAACTCTGCGAAGCATTTATTTGGGCTGCAATTTCTGAGGCTGGTAATTCCAATGAACTTATCCTTTTGCAGCAGAGGTAACTCTGGGTCTTCCATTCCTGTGGTGGTCCTCATGAGAGCCAGTTTCATCATAGCACTTGATGGTTTTTGCTACTGCACTTGAAATGTTCCATGTTGACTGACCTTCATGTCTTAAAGTAATGATGGACTGTCGTTTCTCTTTGCTTATTTGAGCTGTTCTTGCCATAATGAAGAATCTCAAATATAAAATATATTTTGATTTGTTTAACACTTTTTTGGTTACTACATGATTCCATATGTGTTATTTCATAGTTTGATGTCTTCACTATTATTCTACAATGTAGAAAATAGTACAAATAAAGACAAACCCTTGAATGAGTAGGTGTGTCCAAACTTTTGACTGGTAGTGTAGGTGCAGTGAAATGGGTTGTTTTAGAGGGTCAGCCATCGTAGTACGTCGCAAATTAGGGTAAAGTGCCTTTGTCAAGGGCACATCTACAGATTTTTCATCTTGTTGGTGCGGGTTGCTGGCCCAACCCTCTACCCACTAGGCTACCTGCCCCCCTAATACACATCTGGGTAATATGGCCATCCGTTTTCCCGAAAAAGATCTACATCTTCGAATTGGACCAACAGCTGAGAGCACAGCAGAGCAGAGAGGCCTGCTGTTACTAAGACAGATTCCAGGCCAGCGACTGTATAAAGCAGCATAGAGTAGAATGGCCCCGGCAACCAACCTACCACTCACCGCCTCCCTCTCCATAGCTATTTGGACAGCATTGTATAACGCTCTATAAACTTGTGATTATGCCCATACTAACTCAAACGGTCTATTTTAGGGCCATTGATTTTCCTAATTATGGTAGTATCTCATTCGCTTATCTATTCATGGCTTGACTTCTCAAAATGATTCTAAGTTGTTGTTGTTCCAATTATTTCAATCTGTAGAGGCATACACAAAGATATAAAACTAGTTTGGTTCCACCA